AATTGGAATTGGGAAGAACAAGATAGAAGGTTCTTTTCAAAAAACGTAAATAGAGACCAACGTCGATGGAGTTGGAAAATCAAGGCCAAAGGTGAAATAGTGAGGAAATCTTATGGTACAGGAGTAAGGGCAACCTAGGACTCCAAGATCCCCAAACGAAAGTTTATTAGATAGAAAGAGGATCTAAACTAGACTCAACTAAACTCCAAAGAATAGAAGTTACACCATAACCAAATTCTATGGATCCAACAGGAAATCCATTGAATCCAATAAATCCTATTGGAGGCAACAAAAGATCACAGAACAAGCCTCTAGCAGTGGAAATTCTTAATCAATACCCAACTTTGAGAAAATCATCTGAATTAGAGATTCCAATCAGTCTTCACGTTCTGAAAAATCAAGCCAAGAAAGCAGTAAAAGATTTTACAGAATGAGGGATTACTAACGATTGCATAAGAGTGGTCGAAATAGAGAATTTTGGAATACAAATAATCAAAGAACATATTTGCTCTTCAGAATACATCCAAGCACTTGTTGAAGAATATAGAATGAACAAATACAGCAATTACCAACAAACCTATTGCTTTTACATAGATGGATCTTGTGAAAAAGTGAAAGATCAGTCATTAAGGATGGGTGCAGTATGGCTACAAGAGAAGGGACCAAATCCTGGAAGATTTCTTCAAGTAGGAGTAGATAACTGGCCTTTAGCATTGCGAGCAGAACTAGTAGCAATCATCCTAACACTTTTAGTCATACCACAAAAAAGCCAAATAGAAATTAGAACTGACAATAGTACATATATCAATACTCTTCAGAAGCTTCAGAATTCGCAGATCAAAGATATAGGAAAAGAAATAGAAAACGCAAAAACTGGCAATTATGGATGAGATGTATTGATCTGATACAGAAAAAACAAATCATAGTTCAAATAACCAAAGTCAAAGCATACAGTAATGATGCAAGCAACAATGAGATAGATTGGCTGGCAAAAGAAGCTAAAGAAGAACCAGAAATTATATGGACTAAGTGGTATTGACAAGAAGCCCTAACAACATTCTGTTGGAATGGAATACCCATTGATATAGGAACAAGAGATTTTGTCAAGGAATTATACAAAAGAAATACTTTGATAAAATAGGCAAGCCAAAATTGAATACAAAAAAGATGGCTGAAAGAGATTAATAACCATGAAAACTTTGACTGGAGAGAATTCTGGAAGGCAAACAGAGTAGGAGGAGCCCTAGAAACATCACTAAAGAAATTAGAGAAAAATCCTTTCAGATTAAAATGATGCATAATGAGCTTCCAACCTTAGACAATATGAATAAATGATTCCCCAAAGAATATGGAAGCCTAACCAATTATATATACTGTAGAAGAGAAAAGGAATCCCTCGAACATCTCCTTTCATGCCCTGATATTGTGGAAATCTGAAAAGAAATCTGAAACAAAACAAAAGACCAGGTGCTAAACAAATGGTCGAACAAGACTCAAGAAGAAAAAAATCAAGGCTCAAGAATCCATATCGGTGCATTGTTAAAAAGATGCTATACAGACAAGTTTTCCCAAGGAAAAAGCATTATAGACTTCAGCCTAGGACTTTTCTCAAAAGAAGATATTATGGAATGGAGCTTAGCGATGGAGAAATTTAAAGTCAAGAAGAGCGAAGCTAAATTCTTATTATACAAAGCATCAAAATCAGTATGTAAGCAGATTAGAAAGAAGATATGGAATGACAGATGCTCCAGGCTACAAAACTCGGGAGAAAAGTCAGAAAAGAAGAAACAGTGGAAAGGTAATCGCACGAAGACTCAGAAAAGGAAAAAAGCAGGATCAGAAGGACAAGAAGATTACGAAGAAAAAAACCCTGCAGATCAAGAAGAAGCCATGAATGAAGAGTATAAGCAAAGTCAGGAACAGAGTGAAATAGCAATCTGGAGGTGAATCAAAGAAGGGAAAAAGTGGTTGGAAATATAATAAGTAGTCTAGATTTTGTTTAGATGAACCATAGTGATGAACTGCGGGCAATGATTCTTATCTTCAAATTCCAAAAGTGAATAGAAGGTTAAGATAGCAATTCTTTTCATCTCCAAAGTCATACCTAGAGACATAGTCTAAGACGGGTATTCAAGGCAGTAGATAGTTTATGCAATACAATATATTATACATTATTTGTTTTCTGTAAAGATTTAATAAACTTATACACTTGTTTGACTATGGGAAAAAAAAATAATGTTTTTCTAGTCTTTCCGCAATTAGTTACTTATAATCACAAAAAGGCTTTACAACTTGAATTTCGAGCTATGATGCTCTGAATTCGTGGCACCATTTGAAAATCTATAGGTATTTTTGAGAATTCTTTTTATATTAATCATATAAAAATTGATCATGACTTTTACATAATGATTGTATATGTAATTTTTTCAACAAGATTCATTGATTGAAACCTAAAATACTGTAAATAAAAATAAAATGTTATCAATAATAATAGATTATATAATGACATGGGATCACTATGTGATAAGTCATTTTTTTTTTCATCCATAAGTTAAAAAGTGAAATTGCTCAAAATATTACTATAACAATCACTTTTGAGCCCTTAATAATAAATGTTGACCGCATCTATACCATACATTGTTGATTACTTAGTAACACCTAACAAATTAGTTGCTTAGTAATACCTAGTTGTTTACAATTATAAGATCTCTTTTTTTCAATGTACTTATCTGCACACCAAGCAACCAAGAAACTCGATATCTCGTCGAACACTTTATGTCGTTGGCTCAAGAAAGGAAAGATCTCTGCTAAGACATTTCCGTCTAGAACTTATCTTTACAACATCTTTTCTTTTTTTCCTGAAATAACTCAAAATGCTGTCAAAACCACTACTACCGCCACCACCACTACTGTCAACACTACCATCAGAAAAGGTTTCCTATATGCTCGCGTTTCCAGTTTTAAGCAAAAAGAAGATCTTGAATGACAAAAACAGATCCTTCTCTCTCCATTTCCAACCTACAAACTTCTTAGCGACATCGGCTCAGGTATTAACTTCAAAAAACCAGGACTTAAGGCCTTACTGGAATAAGCAAGTTATGGAATAGTCTTAGAAGTTGTGGTTACCCATCATGATTAACTTTGTCAGTTTGCCTTTGATCTCATCCAATATATATTTTCACTCCATACTACAAAACTCGTGATTTTTTTTGATGAATTGACCTCTGACGAACATAAACTCTCCCAAAATATTCTTGCCATCAATACAGTCTTTATTTGCAAAATGCAAGGACAGTGAGCAGCTAGATATAGAAAAGAGTGCAGAAACCAAAAAACACAAAAAAAAAATGATAACAGCTAGCAACAAATGCCAAAAGATGGAAAATACTATCAACCGGGCATTATCAATCAAGATATATTTAAATTATCCTCAAAAACAGATTTTCAAACAATGTATAGATTTGGTGAAATATGCCTATAATGCAGTTATCTGTTGAAATTGTTTCCGTCAATGTTATACCAAGAATTGTCATATTGGACCAACTCAAAAAATATGGTTAAAGGCTCAACCAATTGAAAAATAATTCAAGCTCTATGTAGATGTGAGATCTAGCAAAGACACAAATAAAAAGAAAGATGCAAAACTTCCAAAAGCTGCAATTTGGGGTGAACGAAAATTTTGCAGAGCAGTTGTTTATCTTGGCATATTCTTACAAGGTTGCTTTGGTTCAGTTCGGGTCAATATCACAGATAAAGCAATTGATCAAGCATTAATTGCACGAAATGACATTATTAAATGAAATATACAGTGATAAGAAGGTGTTCTGATATATTCTCTTTCTTTTCAATCACTTAAGGCATCACGTCACACTATCACAATTTGTGCCTAGAATTTTAGTAAAATTTTTTGGGATCACTTTTATACTTCTTATCTTCATACTCAATCAATGTATGCATACGCGCATCGGCACAAATCTAGTGCTTTGTGGCCTCTTCATTTTGAAAAAAAACGCAAAAATAACAAGTGATCCTATCTATACAAAACCATATCTGATAGCAAACTTACTTATCCCGAAAAACCAATGAATGGACATTTGTTTGGGTCTATAAGAAGCAAAAAGAGTTCCGCGAAACCCAAGTGGATGGCTCTATCCATGCAGTCTCCATTGATCCTGGCATTCAAATACCCTTTACTTGGTATTCTCTCTCCAAAGGTGTGGGTAAAATTGGTGAATATGATGTAGGCCGAATTTCTCATTTGTGTAAGTATATGGATAATCTCATTTCAAAAAAGATAAGCTAGCTACCTCTACCTCGAAGCGTAAGAAGCGCAAAGCCTGCCGGCTTGATTATGCAGTTTCATGGATGCAGCAAAAAATTATACACTTGCAGAGTGAAATTCACCAGAAGTCTGTTGCTTTTTTTACTCATAAATTCGATGCTATTGTTATTCCTTCTTTTGAGGTATCTGATATGATAAATCGCAAAATGAGAAAAATTAGACAAAAGACTGTGCGAAAAATGCTCTGCTGGGCACATTACCATTTCCGTCAACGTCTAATTTCCAAGGCTGAGGAGTTAGGAGTCCATGTTATCATCCAAAACGAGGCTTACACATCAAAAACATATAGCTGGTGTGGTAACATAAAGAGTATTGGAGGGTCTGAGATGTACAATTGCCAGAATTGTGAAGTTGTAATGGACCGAGATGAAAATGGCACTCATGGGATATTTCTCCGGACATTGCTTGATGGAGCCTTGATTCTCTCTGGAGATCATGTAGGAAATAGTAATAATACTTAGTAATGCCTAGTATTACTTACTATTGATATGTTACAATTCATCCGTAAGTATGTAAAATCTTGCAATTTTATTTATATAGTATATGATTGGTTAAGTTGATCAACAATTATTTTAACGTGTATATAAATAAATAGAGTATGTTAATCCTTCGCAATATTAACTCATTATTTTCAGGTCTCTTAAATATTAAAACCAATTTAAATTTGAGTGTTTACTAAGTCTTTCAAAATTTCGAATGGAAATCCTGATTCTACGAATGCCTATACATAATAAAAAAAATAAAAAAAAATAATACATAAAACATTCACACAAAAACAGTAATAATCAAAGAAATAAGAATGTCTTACAATTTCGGGCTTCAATTGCTGATGAATTCTAGATTTTTTAATGGCTTGTAATACGTTCATGTCGAAATCAAAGACATCCAATATTACCTAAATGAATCAAAAAAAAAATTTTTTTTTGTTTTTTAAAAAAACGACAACGTTGTGGATAAAAAGCATTCTACTGTATAATAAATATTGCTGATGGTATATTTCTTACTTCCAACACGGCTGTAAGTATTCTAGTGCCACCGCTACCTCCTAGAGTCATCTCAAGTTTACCATCTTTCTCGATTATTGTTGGTACTGTCGACGATAATGGTTTCTTCCCGGGCGCTAAATTAAATTAAAAAATGAACTCTTCTTCAAAAGTAAACCGAGTAAAGAGAAAGCCTACCGATGAAGTTATAAGGCGAAGGATACATTCCAAAAATATCGGGTCCACCGGGTATCGAGAAATCATCCAATTGGTTGTTGAATATTATTCCGGTGTTGGGATCCACTACCTGTGAACCCCAAATTCGATTTATCTACTTGCAAACATATACGTTAATGTTAGTTAGTTAAATGTGTGGATCAAGCGGACCTAATTAACTTACGGTTGAAGTGAAAGCCACAGCCATGTCATCTTTGTCGATAGTGGAAAGATGTGTTGTTCCATGATCATTTTTTTCTGCGTAGACCGGATTATAATATTCTGTTTCGTGCGTTCTGTCCTGTACATATTAAATGCTTTCTTATTTAAAAGGATATGATTCCGTAAGTATAGTGTTTATGAGCGCCACTTACATCTGATATATTATTCCTCACTATGCTTGCGTATTTCTTGGAGATTATATCCAAGATGCGTAGTTCGTGTGCGGTTTTGTTTTCAAACTTTCGAGAGAACACGTAGTTAGTCAGAGTAACCATTGTCGTTACACAGTACCAAAATTAGCACTTACAAACGCAGCATCGCCCAATTCTGTTCGTCGTGCAAAACCGACTAATTTCGTTGAAGGAAATTCATAATCATTTACCAATGTGCATTACCATATTTACTTATTTTTGAACGAAATCTTACACTTGAGTGTCTCGACAAGTCTGCAATTCCGGAAATGGAATAAGTAATTTTCTTATTATCGGGTGTTCATATATAACCAGTCAATACCTATGTAAATTGATTCCAGTAAGACTACTCTTGTTTAACTCATACCCTTCCAATATATTTAACATGAAGATTAATATTGCACCACTTGCAGGTTCGGGTGTCGTTATTACCTAATGTAGTACGACTGCACGTCAGTATTTTGTTTTATGGAATTTTAATAGGTCTACGTTACCTTTCGTCCGTGATAATAACCGACAACGGGCTCGCGCAGTACAGGACGATAATCAGCAAGATCCTCCAAGGTCATTAAGCCACCTGAAGCTTTAATCGCCTTTACTAACGACTTTGCGATGGAGCCCTATTTGGCGAAAAATTAAAGATTAAATCCGATAGCACTCAAAAATTTCCGCGATAATACGTATATTATAAAAGTCGGTGTAGTCATCGGCAATTTTCTCCAGAGTTATGGAATAATTTGTTCGATATAAAATTTCCCCTTGTTTTAAAACATCACCATTTGGTGCGTATATGGTGGCAAGTTGAGGATTGTTTATTATATCATACTTAAAGAAACAGGAAATGCATATAAATGACATATAAGTTTAAAAGTCATATTTTTACGTTTATATATATTATTTTGGATATATTAAATGCTAAATGTGTAGAATAATGCAACCACATACTGTATATTTATATAATCAAATCAAATCGCAATTTACAAATTCACAAACACTAATCGAAAACATCACATGAAATTACAAACACGTGCGGCTAGAATTCCCACACGTGATATTTATAAAATATATCGCATATACACAAATATAAAATAATTAATCTATAATACCAGTTTCCTGTTTGTGAACAATTTCTTTAACCTTTTGCATCAATAACTTATCAAATACAGGATTCTTATGGTGAGCTTCCTCATCACCCAAAAGAGCTATAAGAAATTTATTATAATTGTTAATAGATGTCATTAACAAAAATGTGGAATTAATTCGAGCCATTATAAGAATAGCCACAGGACATCGAGTCACATGTAATAATTCAATCAATCTCCACATTCCACTCCAATATCTCCGTTCTTGCCTATCATCGATACACAGTGCGGTCATCATCTTCTCTGCAACGAGACCACGTAACACTTTCGGTACAGGTGATAGTCCATTATTTTTCCGTTCATAATCAGTCGAAAGTACCACAAGTAATGCTAAAAATGGTTTTCGGAGATCATATATCATCTTCAACATATTCTCCTCAGCCTTCCACTTGGTTAACTTAAGTTTATTATACTGAGCAATCTATGCTCTAAAGTAATTATCCAATGTTTCAACATTTGACGTTGAATAAGATGGTAGAGATTTGAGTGAAAAATGAATATCACCAATATCAAAAAGATAATTAAAATCCAAAGTGAAAAAAGATTCCATTGAATCATTCCTTGAAAGAAGTTGATCACCACGTATGTCCAATTGATCAGTCGTAACATCGGTAAAAATTTTCTTCAACATATGCGACCTGCTTGCTGGATCATCTACATAATATATATTAATAAAGTTCGAAGATAATTTTTAAAAACTTTCCAGAAATTACCTCTTCGAATCTCATCAAGTTGTCGATCCTAAAAAACATTCACATATTAAAATAAATACAATAATAATAATTATTATAATAATGTAAAAATATAACAATATAATACTCACATCATTATTTGATCCCAGGAAATCAATATCCATCGATGGACCACATGTTGTTATCATAACATCTGACATAGATTGATTTATTCCCAACGAGTCATCTCTTTCCAATGGAATCTGGACTTCATTTCGATTATCATCATTTATCAAAACTACCTTCTTTCCCTTCGATCCCGAGGGTTCAGACTCAATCTATTATTTTAAATCAATCTCAATCTCAATAATAAATAAATAAATAAAATTCAAATAAATACCGGTTCTACCCTTTGGGATTTACATCTATCGCAGTACCATTTTCCAGATGGTATTTTATCAATTGGGGGATTCAAACAATAAGTATGATAACCGTTACCACAGTCACCATCACATAAGAGGATACGACCCCCATCAATCTTCCGTTCACATATAAAACATCCACATAATTTACATAACTCCTTCCGCTCCCCATGGCATTCCTCACATTCAGACCAATTTGTGTTATCCATATCTTTATCTTGTCGAATCTTTAACTTTTGCTTCAAAAATTTTATCATTTCAGTACATCAATCAAATATGAATAATAATTAATCAAGGAATACTACCTTATTAATGTGAAATCGCATCCTCTTCCTATTTCTCTTTTCTTTTGACACCTTAGAAAATTTATTTACTTCTGAGCTCTGAGTAACTCGTTTATGTTTAGATTGATTACTCTGATTAGCACCAGTTGATGAAGAGGCTTCCCCATCCCAAGATCGATTACCCTGAACAGCACCAGTCGATAAAGAGGCTTCCTCATTCTGAGGTTGATTATTCTGATTAGCACCAGTCGATAGAGAGGCTTCTCCATCCCGAAATTGATTATCTTGATTAGCACCAGTTGATAAAGAGGCTTCCCTATTCTGAGATTGATTACTCCGGTTAACACCAGTCGATGGAGAGGCTCCTCTATTCTGAGATTGATTACTCTGATTGACACTTGTTAATAAAATAGCTTCACCCTCCCAAGATCGATTATTCTAATCAAAATCAATAAATGAAACAATTAAAATCAAAATTTAACTTATTAAAATAAAATATTTAACAATCAAAGTATTATACCTGAATATCACCTGCGAGTTCATCCTCAACTGTCGATGTAGATGAATCATCCACATTAATAGGATTATCTTTATTTGAGACAGCAAGTTCTCTCGATAACTGAGAAAAGACATTCTCCCTTATAAGAACTGCATCCGGTACATCAATTCCCACGGTCTTAACTTTACCATTATCAAATGTTAAGGTTACCGTCTGAATTTGATTAAAAATAATCGAAACAATCTTCCCATGAGTTGCCCTCCAGATAAGATTCACCGAACGATTCACAACTTCCTGACTATCCTCTATTGTTTCAATAACCATATTTTTTAAAAAATAAGATCGAAAAAGAGATTTAACAAAAAATTTTAATTACGTATCTTATTTAAATGTAAGACAATATGATTTTATCATTAAAATATTTTCCTACCATGATTATAAAATCAAAAACGTCAACCATCAACATACGATTTCATAATTTTTAATATTTATCATTAAATATTAATATCATAATATGTCAATATAAAAGTGAAAATTTCAACGTAAAATCCTCTGTAATTATTATTACATAAATATTAAAATAAATAACTTTCAGGTATATAACTGTATCACTTCTTCTAAAGAAAAAAAAATGAAAAATGTGGTGTATGAACATAAATATAATTATTATAATTTATATATATATATTTATATATAAACACATGATTATAAATATTTACACATGAGATACACAACATAAAATACGTACCATCAATTTTTTTTAAAATAATCCAAGAATCAGTTTATTTATTTGGAATCCTTATTATAATATCATTCATGTTATTACATAATATTTCAAGAACTAATAAAAGTAACATTAAAAAAATGAGCATGGGAATTACTAACTAAACTTTTAGAAAATTCGTTAAAAACATTTAAGATTGAATTCTTAAATTCATCAGTTGTATTGGAGAAATCCATGTTAATCTTAAACTTAACGAATTGGATAAATGGACTATGGTAAACATAAATAAAAAAAATAAAAAAAACAAATAAAAAGAAAATCAAATTTCATAAAAGGATCTTTAATTTCAATCCCTTAATATTAAATCCCAATGTTTTCATAGTTAATTTCTTGATTTGTTTATTCTGGTCATTTGAATCACTCAAATTGATAAGTGGAAATTTATTCAGATTATCGTAATTTTCTTCGTATTTCTCTGAAGTTATTTTATCAACTTGAATTTTTATTTGAAAAATAATAACTCTGAGAGTAGCTCTATATACGTATATAATTTTATATAAAACATATAACAGAATATAAATTCTCAAAATCATCAATATGATTTATATTCCAATGATTAATTAACAGTTATCTGAAAATACTAACTATGCTTGGTAATTCTGAAATCTAAAAATACTAACCATGCTTGGTAATCTTGAAACCTAAAAGTACTAATCACACTTGATAATTTCGAAAATTTAAAATACGTACTAATTCACTAAAAATTTATTTAAAATAACTTATATAAATATTCTTTATCTTTGAAAAATTCATATTTAGCAAGAGATTTAATAAACATCTGAAAAAGTTGTTATATAAAATCTGTTACAATGAATAATGATATTTACTATAATATATAGTAATTTTATTCGAGGATTTTCTTTCTCTCGAATTTAATTTTATTAATTTAAAACTTGTTAATATAAACTTCTTAGAAATGGTTAATAAAATAATTCACTTGAAAATAATTAAATTCATGAATATACTCCCCTATAAAGAAAGCCATCACCTCCTGGATTTAAAATTCTATAATGAACATCTAGATTTTAAAAAACATAAAGTCCGTCAATACCAGAGTGAATATCTCAATGGTAGTCTTATCGATCTATACCATTTCAATTGGATGAAACTCCTCCCAACTCTTATTCAAGAAAATATTCTAAATCCTAATTTGAAAAAGAACACCATATCTATTATCAGTAATAGATATATTCTGTTCCATTTCAGAATAATTCATGAATTCTATAATCCAAAGGCTAAAAAGAGAAAGAAATTAACAATGATCTATTTTTTCTATGATCTGTTTTAATTTGATATTTTTAGTCTCAAGCTTGGTAACTCGTTGTTTTAATAATTCAAGCTTCGATGACATGTTTAATAATAATTTTTATATAAGATACATACGGTAGCTCACAAAAATAACTGATCACTAAAATAAATAATGTTAAATATAATTAAGTTAAATAATAATTTATAAAAAAAAAAATAAAAATAAAATTTTTAAAATATTTATATTTAAAAATATTAATTAA